TTTTTATGAGATTGAAGATGGAACAGGTATTCAGTGTTTGACAACGCTTTTACCAGCAACACCTTCTAATATAACTCGTACCCACCAAGAGAAATCAAAAGACAGAATCGAGGAGATCAGAAGTTGTATTTGACGATTGCCAATATATTGGAATTGTCTGATCTATTCTGGCTAGCGATTGCAGTAGATGCTGAGCTCGGCGTTCCCACACGTGATCTGGTGCGGATGCATGACCGAGCGCCTTCAGCTAGGTGAGTCCACTAAAACTAATCTGGTCAGCATCCAATGTCGAAAACTTACAGAGCTATTTATTTTGTGGGGTTATTTACCGCTACAAGATCATGTACGTGTAATAAAAATGATGATATTAGAAGTCCACAACTATGATTACAATCCGGCTAACAAACCGAGTAGAGACAAAGTGCACTGAATTTTCGATATTGGATTATATCGTCGTAACTTGTTTCGTCTTTCTTACGTTGGGGTCACCATTTATATGGTGGCTTTGCTTCGTCAATCAACTATGTAACCGTTAATATATAAATTGCATCAGTGTTTGAAATCCGAAGGCAATAAGAAGCGGCAACTACAGTTTACTAGTGGATAGTACGGATAACAAAGTTATAAATACATAGAATGAATTAGAAGCAAAGAGGCGAATATGTGTATGCGAGCAAATACAGAAGCGAGTTTTTAGTCAAATCGAATAAAGCACAGCTTGGCAAGGCAAAGGCTAAAAATAGGATTTGAGTACATATATACATGTGAAAGAGAATGAATCATTGAGTGATAGTGTAGTAAGCTCATTCAACTACTGTATTATTTATCCGCTCACTGTAATTTACACACTTAATGCACTATGTAAATTTCTGTTTGAGTCTGATTGAATACATGTCTCCACATCAACTTTAATCTATTCCCCCATTGGTCGTAATACACAGATAATCAGTAATTTATCCACACTTGATTATGTCTCATAAATATATATGGATTTTTAACACTCATATAAACACTCTTGGCTTCACTGTGTGCTTGCTTGCTGTACGTTTGTGAATTTTATTAGTCTTTAACAACAAAATATCTCTACAACTGATGTTCAGGATTCTGAATAATCTGGAGTAAATCTATAACTCTACTAGGAGATTTAGATAGCGTTAAATAATCAGTCAACGGGATAGAGTTAGATATCGGGGAAATTCGCCTCTACAATATTTAAGCGATCCACATTGTTGTTGGAGTCTTTGATGCAATCTAGTTATCATAACGGTACCAAAATAAATACCTACTCTTACTGTTCGAATAAGATTGTCTGATAAGTAAGTTAAAAAAAGCTTAACCAAAACCAACCATAATCAAAATTGGTCATGGGATAGTTACTATGACATTTTGAATGTTAACCTACTCAGTAGTCATATGTTTGGCTTCGAAGATCGTGTGGGTAGAAACCAATACCACGACAATGTAACAAGAATCTTTCAAGCCTTGTACAACACGAGAAACGATCTACGTTGCTAGGTCTGATGTTTTTAAAGCTAGTCTAGATCGGTGAGTCAAAAGTAGGACAGTCAAAAGAAATGCAACTCGGTGTTCAGTGACTTCGATCAACAATCCATGACACAGGTCGGTGGAAGCACATTCACAGTAACTGAACTTTCCATGAGAGAAAAATCTTCGAATTGGCCAGTTCTTAAAGCACTGCCTGATCTGCCGTGAACCACAGTTTTTATTTTAAACTGGAGATCATAGTTGTAACTAAAATCTGACAATCTCCTGGTATCGCGCGTGCAAGTTGACACACTTTTAGGAAGTGGAAGGATTCGAATTATGCACGCACATCAGCATCCATTTCAAAGCCGTAATATTAGCTAATGCCAAACTGGTCGAGTTATCGGAGAATGAGTGGTGCTGCTTCAAAAGTTGAGGTATCAATCCCTTGAGTGTTAGAACATACCATACTCACACGTGTGATAACATTATGAAAAAGTATAAATTACAAGTGATAACACTTCCATCACTACTGGGTTTTTACCAGACACAACCAGAAACTGTGATACTGTGTCTCTAATCCCCATGCAGGGAAAATAAAACTTCTAGTGATATCGGTTTCAACCACAAGATCTTCAAGGTTGAACATGAGATAACTGGAAAAATAGATATTCAGCATTCGACGTGGAGAGAAGGCCGATAATGGTGAAGCTCGAGAATAATTCGATTCAGTCAGATGGCATTTCTCAGCCTCTCAGATGTATTTGTTCTGTATAACCTGTCTTTATTCTATTTTTAGCCTAAATGTGTTCTTCGGAAGTACTAATTATCATATTGCTAATTGTCACGAGACGATAAGTCAGTGTAGACAATGATATGACTTCCACGCAAGATCCTATAGATTAAGTAATCACATTATGAAATATCTACAATTTTGAGATTAGGTCTATTGTTATAATAGTACTAATAAGGGACATAGACCATAATTCTACAAACTTGTAACAGCATAGGTTGGTTGGTTAAGAGTTGACCCCAAACAACCAAGCATATGCCAAAACAATATTGTTCAAGTATTCATTCACTTCCTTATTTTGTATAAGCGTTATATTCCCTATTATCTTATATTGAATGTTGAGAGCCTTTTGTTTGTCTGAACAGATAATCCCACGCTCCACTGTGATTGCGCTAAGATCGAAATAAAGACCTACTCACTACTTGTCTGGTTTCTTCTATCAATAGCACGAGGGTTACCTTAAGGCACGAAAAACTCACTGGCTATCTCAATAAGCAGCTTAATCACTATCATAGGTACGCTATCAATCGAAGTATAACTTCTTCATTCATGTCACCATGAGCAACGGGTATCATGTTGCGACCGAATTCGACATGATTGTGAACATAATACCACTGTGATATGATAAATCCACGCCTTTACAACAAACAGTTAAGCTCTCAGCCATTAGAAAGATCCGTGGACACGACTTCTGGCTCAAAGAATGGTAGAAATTTTCAGATAATGAACAGTGTAACAACTCAAAGCCTCCTCAAAAAATGTTTCACAGCTGCTGCTCAGTCGTGGTAAATGAAAGTCGTGGATAAAACTGTGCTTTATCGCACTACCTAACTTAAAAAGGAATACCTGTGACAGATGGAGGATCTTACTGGACAAAAGAAAGATAGGAGATTTGATCAAATAAATCTATCTGTGAAACTACGATATATATTAAAGCACTTATGCCGTTTCATGTCCCTAAAAATGAAAATCAGAGAATCTTCATCATTACAGGAACCCAAGGTGAGACACTAAATTACTCTTAAAATCTCAACGTTCTGAACAAACTGAGACCGGACTGTGAAGTGTCATTGTCTTAGGGTGCATAAAGCGCCACACTGAGCACCCTATTGTTCCCAATATTCATCAATGACTTATAAGTAAATCTAACTTTTTATGCCTGCAAAATACTGAACTATGAAGTTGGTCCCTGTAGATGTTTAGTTTGACACCTGATCTGCTTAAATCTCAAACAGTGTTTTATGAGCAACAGAGGATGCTCAGAGTGACTAACATTTGTGTGATCACTACTACTCCAAACCATCGATGAATTGATATTGCCGATAGAAGACCTTGACCCAAATGACGACTATTAGGTAAATTCAGTCAAAGCTTGTACTGCTCTTCATTTTATCCGCAGTTAGCTAGGCATACTCCTAGGCTCTTTCCGACAATACTCAACTGCACCCTACCAAATCGACAGAAATCGCTTGGGAAAAATGAAGAAGTGTGACTCAAAGTGGGTAATAAAAATAGGTAATAGGTTTTCCGAAAACCGATAATGCCACTCAGGATTGTTATCGCTAAATTACGAAGGAAAGACAGACTACCTGGTAATGTTATGCAACCTATGAAGCACTTCGGACTACCAGAATAAAACCATTCCACCCAGATCTCTACACTGCACTTCATGAGCCAACCCACTAGGAGTTGTACATAGAACTAACGTCCAGGTTATATGACTCTATTTTTCACCACGGTTTGGCCATTCCTGGACGGTATTCAATACGACGTGACCATAGCCTTCTCAGTGGAGGGAGGTCGAAATCGGCCCATACAATTATAATTTTTCATGTTCCGCCTGAAATAACCGTGTAGTGGACAAAAACACCAGTCGGGACAACCAACTGTATATGAATACAAAATTACAGAACATCTTAATAAAATCTGAGAACCATACTGTAAACTCTTCATTTGCTAAATGTCAACTAATCGTCTCAGACTTCACTGTTCCTGCATTTCCATATCAATTGCTTTCTGTTACTGTTCTTTCCTCCCCGATCGTCTCAACTTTCTACTGCTAAACATTCTATATCTGACTAGCGTTTTATAGTGCTTATGAAGACATAAGTAGCACACTTTACAACTCTTCCCGACGCGCTTCTCCAAACTTAACCTCACAACCACTGCCATTCATATTCCTATTTCAATATCTATTATTATCGTTGTTGTCATAAATACATTTGTGTTCACATTAAACCTTGTCACATCAACCCATTTTTTATTCTTCACGCCATTTTCTCGATTGCTTAGAAAAATTCATTATAATTAGTAAAAACGTATGACTAGACTACCTACGGAAGTGGATAGGACACACATTGAGGAAAGCACCCAACTGCGTCACAGCACAAGCCCTCACATGGAATCCTCAAGGCCAAAGGAGGAGAGGATGAAGACCAAAGAACACATTACGCCGGGAAATGGAAATAGACATGAGAAAAATGAACAAGAATTGGATGGAATTAGAAAAGGAGGCCCAGGACAGAGTGGGTTGGAGAATACTGGTCGGTGGCCTATGGTCCATTGGGAGTAACAGGCGTAAGTAAGTAAGTAACTAAGTAAGACTACCTACACTGAGAAGTACCAAAAGCTCGGAACACTGAAATAACATAAGAAACTGAGCCTAAAAGAACTAACCGTTTACGTGAGTCCTTCACGAAGGTACTTCATATTAAAAGTAACGATCGGGAAACGACCGCGTGTTTAGAAATTCCGTCAGAATGGCGGTTCGCGCACAGCAAAGGCCGTCATTTCGTCGCAGTAACCCGTAAGTAGCATTTTAATACTCAAACGACTAGACACCAGTCATATCGTTGGGCACATCAAATTAAGGATCCGTTACGATCATCCTAACTACATGTCCCTCATATTTTGTTGTTGTTTATTTATCTTGTACGATTCTATATTGGTCTAGTCTAAATGAATGCGTAAACTCATAGTGTGTAAAATCAAAGTTGTAAACGTCTCACAGGCTGATGTCAAGTTCATATTCTTACCACATGAGCTACTTCCCACGCAAATAATATTATAATATTATATAAAGGAGAATTAGGAATAGCGGGACTGTAATGAATGGATTAAGTGTGGGAAACAGATGGAAAGTCTTGGAATTCGGATCAAAGTCTGTTTGTGCATAATTCTTAGTAACATTTTGAGGTGAGGCTATAAATTGTGGACGACATTTAAGCTAAGCTAGGCTGACCTTGAGAGTGTCCACCTAATATCCATGACCAAATGAGGGTTCTAAACCTGTGTGAGCAATTAGAACTATGTTTTAAAGTTGATGATTAACGTTAGGAATTAAATTTCGGGTTTTCATCACGAACTGACATAAGCTATAATGCCAGAACTATCTAACCAAATTGGATGAGCGAATTCCGCGCCAATATCCGAGGCCTATTATCTTATACCTTATTGGCTCGTCCATTACTTATAGTCTCGCCCATTTTAAAATTATATCTGATACCGTTTCGTGACGGGAATCATAACTTTAATTCCTAACCCCAATACCTAACCTTCAATCCCAGTTCGAATTCGCACACTGATCTACGGCCATTGTTTGACCATAGTACGTAGATAACTTTTTCCACAATCTACATTAACACGTCGTCCATAAGCTGTAGTCCTAACACAAGAATCGAGGGAAGTTCTGTATGGGTATTGAGAATCCTAATTTTCCTTACTTCCTCAGACTGAGGTTTAGTGGAAAAGTAGATCGCTTGACTATAATTTAAGCAGAGGTCGTGGTGTTAATTTCGAGACATTTTGCCTCTATAAGGAAATTCATAGGCACGTTGCCAGTTTTTTGTTCGGTGTCTAGTCTCCTGTCGATAACCTGGTTCACTCAAGACCGATTAGCATAGGATATCTATTTTAATCATTTTCTCTGAGTGATTGCCTTTATAAACCAACAACTAAAAATTAGGATACAAACCATGTTCACTGCTTACATTCCATCCAATTAAGCATCAGATTCTTAACTTCGTCTCTTTGTACTATGGGTTCAGTAGTTCGTGCCTTTGCGAAAGTTCTCTTATTTTATTACAACATCTAGAGGGAAGTGTACAAACATTTAACAAACGATCTGAAATCTTGATTATAGTCGAATAGCGGTTGCACGTTAACCCGTGGTTGAGACAACTGCAATTCCTGAAACTATTTCAAAAGCTAAAGTCATATCGATCTAGCCAATATTTTAGTTTCGTGCTGTCATATATGTCTTGAGTTAGTCATGGTATATTTGAGTACTGTTGTATAAGTATAAATGTAAGTGAATGATATGAACATGCTGTATTTCTCTCTGTATACTCTTGAAATGGCATTTTTAGCATTATGTTTGTAATGACAATCGCAAAAATGTATTCCCCTTAAGGTAAACACTCTTGAATTTCTTCAAGGCTGACATATGCGTAGTTCTATCAAAACGCGAACATCCAAATTGTATACAGTTTATTAGTAAAATCTAAAATTTTTTCAAACTATTGGGTTTCCTAGCGGACAGCAAGTATATCATATAACAACCATGGGGAAAGAAAGATCGTGACAATCAAATAGTGTCACTTATTTTTATACAAAAGATTTGTAGGTATCGTTTAACATTCTTTCCATTGTCAAGTAACCCTAACTTTTTTGGACGTGTGGTACTGAACGCATAAAGCTATTTTAACACTTCACTTTAATGTTCCCATTCATTTGCCAAAATTTTTAGTATATAATTCTCTGGTAGTAAACTAACCACAGATTACATGTTAGTTTTCAAATTTAAATCAGGAATTTCGTGTATTTCTGTATGACTCGGGATGACCCAAGCTAAAATAGACCTGCGACTAGTTCAGGTGTTTACTTAATTTTTTAGGTTGACTATCAAAAGGTGACACTGATGGTCGTCAAAATACGTTTCCTTTTTGACATATGATACACTTGAATATAATCCTTTCTAGTTCTCTCCAGTTATTCATCGTTTTGATGTCTACTTCCCCTTTTCTGTTCCCCTTCATGATTCCAAGTAAGCACTTGCCTGGTGATTTAGTTTGGTGATTTCCGTAATGTATTTCCTATCCACTTCCAGCATCTATCCCTAATTTCCTCTCCATTTGGAAGCTAGTCTGTTCTCTCCCACAGTAGGTTGTCGCTGATGATATCTGGTCAACGGACATTGAATATATTGAGTAGACAATTGTTTATGAATACTTGCACCTCTTTGATGATGGTTGTGGTTCTCCAAGTCTCAGCACCGTATAGTAAAACTGTCTTGACGTTCGTACTGAATATTCTGACTTTGGTGTTGACTGACAGTTGTTTTGAGTTCCATACGTTCTTCAACTGTAGTAATGCTGTCCTTACTTTGCCAGTCCTTGCCTTCATATCTGCATCAGGTCCTTCTTGTTCATCGATGATGCTGACCAAGTACGTGGACGTTTCCACCTCTTCCGGAGTTTCACCACAAAGTGTGACTGGGTTGTTCTCCGTGTTGTATTTGAGGATCTTGCTTTTGTATATTGAGGTCTACTGATGCAGAGGCCTCTGCTACACTGTTTGTCTTGACCTGTATTTGTTCGTGAGTATGGGATGGAAGGGCTTGGCCATACACGAAGTCCAAATCGTCTAGTTGCATCCAAACTATCGATTGTATTCTATACTTCTCTTGAGATGTGGTTTCGATAATCCAGTCAACCACCAGAAGAAAGAGAGAGAGTAAGCACTCTTGTCTGACTCCGGCCCTCACTTAGAATCCATCTGCCATTTGTTCTCTGTGCACGACTTTGCAGAGTAGTCAGTTGTATGATTTTCGGATGTTAACGATTTTCTCAGGTAAACCGTAGTGTTTAAGAATATTCCATAAGGTTTTCCTGTCCACGTTGTTGAACGCCTCACAGTCAAGGTAGCTGATGTATAGCGACGAATCCCATTCAATTGACTGCTCAACGACGATCCGTAGTGTCGCGATTTGGTTTGTGCATGGTCGATCCTTACAGAATCCAGCCTGTTGGTCTTTGTCCTTCCTTCCATATCTTTCTGGATAGAATGTGGAGCATCTTCAATGACATCTCTATGTCTGACTTCAGTGTTTCAGCTGGTATACTGTCAGATCCTACTGCCTTCCCACTCTTGATTTGTCTGGTTTCTTCCGTCGTTGGTGAAGCGACATATACAGGAAGGTCTGTAGGCGTTATTTCGATGTCCGTTTGATTCAGTAGGGCTAGCTTATTAACGAGTTACTCAAAGTGTTCTACCCATCTGTCCCTCTGTTCTTGTGTCTCAGTGATTGGTTTGCCTCCTTTGTCCTTAACCGATCTCTCCAGTTTATGATGTGTCGCTGCCAGTTTCTTCGTTGTGCCATATAGTTGTTTTATATTTCCTTTTCTTGCAGCTTTCTCCGCTGCTAGGTCTTCCATGTATTTCTGCTTGTCAGCTCTGATGCTGTTCACCTTCTTCTGTGCATTCAGCTTGTGTATTGACTTTCTCTGTTCTTGTTCGATTGTTGTTAATTGCTGTCTTCTTTCTTGAATGCTGTCCAGAGTTTCTATGGCGATCTATTCCTTATGGTGATACTTCTTTCGACTCAGAACCTCCTGACACGTTGGGGTTGGTGCTTCTTTAATCTTTTTCCAATTGTCCTTCTTAGTAGTTTTTTCTTTGAGTAGTTTCTTGTAAGGCTTGGAACTTGTTGAGAGTTATCTTGAATTCTTTGAGTTTATCAGTATCTCGAAGAAAGTCTGTTTTGAACCTTTTTAATGCTATTTGTCTAGTTATTCAGTGCTTCTTTAGCTTCATTTTTATCTTGTCAACCACCAGGTGGTGATCTGGAGCTATGTCAGCTCCTCTCCTTGTTCTTACGTCTTGCATTGACCCTCTGAATTTTTTAGTGATGCAAATATGATTGACCTGGTTCTCTCTAGTGCGACCCGTGTAGCTTTATGTATGCGTTTTTGGTAAAATATGCGGCCTATAAAAATTTTGTTGAACGCGCATAAATTTTCAAATCTCCTTCCTTTCTCCCAGTTCATATCGTCCTATGATATGTTCATACTCGGCGTTGTCCATTCCCACTTTGGCGTTTAGGTCTCCCATCAGGATGATTATATCCTTTCCTGAACATCTCGCTGTGATTGATTGCATCCTCTCGCAAAGCTGATCTTGTTGTTGATCTCGTTGTTGCTACTATTGGTGGGTGCATAACATTTGATAACATTCATTGTGATCCCCTCCTTTGTTTTGATTGATGCTTCGATGATCCTGGGTCCATGAAATTCCCATCCTATAAGTGCTTTACGTACTTATTTGGACAGCATCACAGCAACTCCCTGAATGTGCAGGGAATTTCCTTCGTGACCCGAGTACAGCGGCATCATTCCCGAATCTATCCTTTCTGTTCAGCTAGGGTCTAATGGGTTTCACTTCCAAGTTGTATCTCCTGATTTTCACAGCTATTTGGTTGGTTCTTCCAGTCTTCCATATTGTTCGAATATTTCATGTACCTATATGAATTGTTGCTCTGGTTGTTAGGAGGGGCATCGGCTTTTACCACTTACTTACGCCTGTTACTCCTCGTGAAGGAGCATAGGCCGCTCACCACCACGAGGTGTCATAATTCTTCGTCCAATTCGGAGGACAGAGTTTAAATGGTTTAATTTATTTATTCTGGCTGACATTTTTTAGCAAGGTTGTTTTCTACGAGATAAGTTTGCTGATCCCATGCCCAACCCTCTTCCTTTACTCGAACTTGGGGTCGGCAGTAACCCTAGAAGTGTTACAGGCGGAGTTCCTGGCCTATTTCTTACGAAATAAAATATGCCTCGAAGACTAGCTATTCTACTATATATAACCTCTAAATATCTATAGAGTGACATTCTTATCTTTAGATTCGTGAAACTGTACATCTAAATCTGTGTGACTGTGTCGAAGCAGTAGCATTGATAACACTTATTTATCTGAGTGATAACTCGGTTTTATAAACCGGGGAACTTATCAATGACTCGTTTTGTAAATTTACTTTCGGTCTGTTGGATCTGAAAGAAATATATCATTTTTGAAATGGTGAACGAGAAGTGTTTAGTTTCTAAAGTTTTTATAGTTGCTTTGCATAAGTGTAAAGTTGTTGAAATAAAGTGATCGTGAACTAGGCTGTGAATCACAGTAAGGTGTAAAGACATTTTCTGACTGTTCAAAGTAAATCAACTTTTTGGAGTTACAACAATAACTATTATCATTGTGACATTTGTAAAGTCATGTTGGCACAGTTAGCAGCGATTCCTATTGTTTTATCTTGTAAAATGCTGGGTACACTCTCGTGTTTACTCATGAAGTTGTTGTTTTTTGAAACAAGAGCGCCCTTTCAAAATCCAGTCTTCGCTCATTTGCATGCTGTCATCGTTGAGTTGTCTTTGTATAGTAGTTTAACCTGTCAGGTTAGATTAGGTCTGGTCTTGTATTAACAGTATCCACCATCGTCTGTATTTCGAACCTTCTAACAAGTATAATTTATGTTAGCGGGACATAGATTGCATGAAAGCACGTTCCGTGCACGATTGTCTTGGTGTACGTTGATTGGCTATTCCTTATCCAATCAGCGCTAGTCGATTCTTGGAGGAGACTCTAGAATTTCATGTAAAGACTACAAATATACTAACGTTTCTCCTATTGTGCTTCTTACTTTCATCTACCCTTGTTATTTGGTATATGGTTTCGTCCCTGTTCAACCGTGTTCTGATTTGGTGACTTGTCGAGTGAATTGGTGCCCAAGAATACTAAGCAATAGGGATAACCGGGTCGTAATAAGAGAAAATTATATCAATTTACAGCATGACAACACGACAAAACATAAGTGTTAAAGCCACCAAACAGCTCTGTTAGAGGTTCATACTTTGGTCGTATATCTTAATAATTGGTGAGCTATTATCATTTACTCCTATGCAGTAGATATGGTTCGACCAATGTGTTTTGGTACTCAGCCATGGTTACTTGTACGTGATTTTTAACAAACTTGGTTTGGATAAATTTTAGTAAATCTCCCACTTTATCTATTCTTACTATCAGCTCACAAACCGGTCCCTTTATTCCACAATTCCCCTTGGATATTGTTATGTTAGAACCGAATCTGATCATTCCTGCTGATGACCAAAAACTATTACAATGTTTATTAGATCATCATGGGAAATTAACGCCATCTCCTGATTCTCAACACGCTCTGTCGAATTTAAACAATAGAATTTGTGAAATTTTGGATAATATTATCGTAAATCCGTCTATATTCGAATCTGGGGTACGTTGTCATTATTGTTGTTCCATAATCTTTCTCTTGCGCCTTTGAAAGTCCTGTTACATTTTATGAATACGTACCTTAAACATTTGGGTAATTGGTGAATCCCGAAATATTTCACTTCTTGCTACCGGAAATATTTCTCTAAGTTATACCTTTTCAGTCTTAAACTTTCTCTTGTCACCTTGAATTTGTTGTTTTCTAACAGCAGTTTATAAGAGAGCCCAAAACATGTAGACTACATGCTACTTTCAAGCTTCTCTTAAACTGGAATGGTATGTCTAAAACAAATTAGATCTTTAAATCAGTTAATCCCTTTCATAAATTTGGATAATTCATTGGGAAGACGAATATTATCTGAACTATGTGAACAGCCTGATCACACACATACTTGTTAGTAACATTTATTTGTGCGAAAATTAAAGGTCAACTGGACAAATCGGAAGGTAGGTGTTACATCTTTGATCTGTTTACCCAATAATATGTAACAGATCTAGGTCAAGGCCCTGACACGATAGGCTAACCGTTTTAACCTTGAGGCTAGAGATTCAAATCGAAGCTAACGGCCTTGTGCAGAGAGACAAAAACGATTCTATCATCTGATTGCTTGACAAATGAGAGAGAAAACGAGTAAACTGCAACACTACTAGATTTATTCCTAATTTAGATTAATGTAAAAAGATACACGAATAAATAGAGACTAACATGACTACAACACACACAAACAATCAGAATAACACAATTATGTCTAAACTAAGCATTGGGGTAGAAAAATGGAGTACATAATGTTTCGTTAAATTAAATTAGCTTTGTAATAAAATAAGGTTATGACAGTGAATCATGCTTCAAACGGAAGCTTATGGTTTATGACCTGGGAACAACTAAATGTTAGTATTTTGCAAACTTTAAATAAAGTGAAATAATGTTCCCAAAAATAACTCCCGTTGTTTGTCATGCCTTCACTATTTCCCTGTTTACATCAGTAGGAAGCGAAAATATGAAAAACAGTGCTTCGCACCACACTGTATTCTGAACCAATATTACCACGGTTGGTTCAAGTCGAGAACAAACTGTTTACGAACACAAAGGGGTTTGACTTTTCGTATATCCAAAGCTCCAGTAAGCCCTGTTAACCCCCCATAAACATTTATATAACACTACAAAAGCGGATTTGAACCCTACAACCTGTCGCAACCAAGTGTTCCGTAGTAGAGGATGTAGATGTTTGTCAGTTCTGTACTCCTATTTGATCACTAAACTGAGTTTCCAGGGATCGATCTACCAGGAGGTCCACTTATTGACTTGGAATACGCCGGTGATATGGTCCTGTTTGGCGAAGATGTTGATAAAATGCCGAATCTTTTGGTAGCACTGAGCAACAATGTCAGGATGTTTGGAATGCGTTTCTCTCCCTCTAGATGCAAATTGTTGCTTCAGCACTGTCCTTCGTCAACACCTAAATTCAGGGTAGGGAGTAAAGTAGTCGAACGCGTCGACAACTACACTTACTTTGAAAGTCTGGTCAGCCCTAATACGTTGGTGTCCGACGAAATCTCTGCACGGATCCAAAAAGCTCATTCGGCTTTTGTCAACTTACGTCACCTATGGCGAAGGCGAGATATGTCTATCAATTAAGGGACGAGTATACTGCACGGCAGTTCGTACTGTTTATTTTACGGTCACGAAACGTGACCATTAAGAATATGGGATACTCGTAAGTTACTAGTATTTGACCACAGATGTCTTGGAAATATTGCTCGAATCTGCTGGGATCACCAGGTAAGCAATAGTCGGGTTAGACGCAAGGTAGTAGATGATGATGGTAAATCAGTTGATGAGATTGTAAATCTTCATCGACTGAGATGGTTGGGCAACGTGTTACGTACGCCCGAACCCCGATTACCACGACGCATAATGCTGACTAGTGTTGGAGACGGATGGAAGAAAGTTAGGCGCGGTCAAACCTAAACGTGGCATCAATGCTTGAAGTCACTAACTTCTGGTCTGAGCCATGTTGGTAGAAATAGACTACTCGGTTGGGGTACGTGTGACCATCGTAACCAATAGTTGGAGACTCTGGGTGACATGGCTCAGAATCGATCACAATGGCGTCGGTGTATACACTCCTTGTCTTTCCTTAAACTGTGAGATTAAGATTGCTTTATATCTTTCTTTCCATTAACTAATTCTTTCTTCCTGTATCATATCTTTATGCACAATCTTTCTTTTATATAATATTACGATTGAAGCAACTACTATGAATTTGGTGTTCATCTTGTTGTAGTAATGAGGTGTGGCAACTTGGACCGATGCATATATGTGCTTGATCCTACGTTGTGATTGACTGACAGAGGACGTTTATTAAAGCCCATCAAAACTGTGATATATTTAAGCAATAGATTTATAGAATGACCTGCGGACAAAACTAAATGTTAATATTTTGCAAACTTTGAATCAAGTGAAATAATGTCCCCAAAAATAACTCCCGCTGTTTTTCCTCACAGAATTTCCTACTTCAGGTTTATTTTGTATAATTTAATGTAGTTCTCCAACCAAGCATAGGTTCATGAACTTTTTCGTCAGATAGTATTATTACCAAGCTTCTCAACCATATTCTTCACGGTGATCTCGATAACGAACGATCGAATTTAATATATCTGTTTTCATCCAAAATATCCTAAAAGAGAATCAGGTGTTTACTGATGCTAATACCTCCATTTCTTTACTACCCTTTATCGTCTCGATTGTATTTGTCTAGTACTCATTAGTCACTTCCACGTGATTATATGAACAGTAAATGCTTTGTAGTTTTCTCTGCATAGATTTTTTTTAAACTTCAACTTATTATCTAATTCAGCAATTGGATCATGTTCGTTCAGTTGGATCTTTCAAATTGAACACGTGGTTGAATGGTTCTTGTATATCTGACTTGGCCTGTGTGTTTCGAACACTCCCAACTCTTGAAGCTGTACAAAATTTAGCAAGTTTTGTTCGTCGCCAGTTGACAAGCAATAATTCATCATCTGAACATGTTAATTGTAAAGTTGAATTAGAAAGCTATGGATTTTCTGTTGCCTCAGGAGACTGTATTGTACAAGTACTAATCACTACTACTCCAATGAATTTAAATCGAACAAGTCCTGATATACATAGTAAGTGTCGATTATTCGTCTTTTCTTTGATACTTGATGACAACTATTAAAAGTCTCTGTGTCGTGTAAATGAAAACTTCATGAGAATTAACCGGTGAGCAATGTAAGCCCCAATTAACATTCTGTAGCATTCTGACCACATTCATGTGATACTACGTGGTTGTGGCCGATATCATGGTGTCTAGTCGTTATTTCTGACAGAATTTTATTAGACAATCTGATGCAATATGTGCCAACTTGGACCGATGAATATTCGTTCTCAGTCGTAGTACATCGGCTTTATATTGTCACTCGCTTATCGAGTAAAAGTTTGTTTACTCAACTTTGTAAGGACAACTGTGTAAGGACCAAAAATATTATTTGCATGCCGAATTCAGTGAAACATGATTTAAGCATGCAACCTGTTAATAAAAATCCGAATGTTTTTATCCCCCATATTGATAATAACTTAAATCTTTGTCTTATTCTTTACGCTTATTCTCTTTATATCCGGTTCTCTTATTCTACTTACCCAATATTCAGTAAACAATGCAATGCCAATAACTTTGAGCATATAGCGTGTCACGCATATCAATTGCTAAGCACTTATGCATACGTGTAACTTTCGATTTGTTGATTATTATAACTGTATTTAATACCATTTGTAACAGTTGGTTTCGATTCTAATGTACCCAACAAACTTTTGTTTTATTTCACTAGCATCCAATTTAGTGTTCTTTGTTTCCATTTTCGATTATTGTCTTCCCTTCCTGTTTTGTCACAGCTTCTAGCTATCACATAGCTTATCGTATTTTATAGTAAATAACTTTTAGGAGGCATCCTTCTGTGATTACACATCGACAGTATTTACCAGAGACACCTCGCCAATTGAAGTTTGTAACATATTTCACATAATTTCGCGTCTTGGTTTGTCAGATCTACGCATCAATCGTGTGGTCTGGAGTGGAAAAATTAGATTTTCTACTCATTGGGATATTAAAAATAGATTATTTTTATTTACTTTTGTTATAATTTGTGAACATGTGTGTCCTGTATATTGGATAACGCAACGATACCGCCAATCAGAGAGCAGCGAAATTACCGATCGAACCAGTAACGCATAAAACACGTGCGAGCAGCCTAGAGTCCTAATTGGTCCTGCCTTCCGCCTAGCCCAGCCAGTTAAGTCCAGAACTCCAGTCTCAGCCTCTGCAATATGAATCCTTATATTTCAAACATACGGGGTTTATATACCAATCAAACCTACCACAACGTATCATAAAATAGAAAATAACATTTGTACAATACTTGACCAAAAATGGCTGTGAATGAGGGAGATAGTAATTAATAGACAGGCCATAACTCAAGAATAGTAAATCGTATAATAACAGTTCATAGATTAAAATAAAGCTTATGATAAGAGAGACATGCATATGAATAGTTTAGTTATCTAACAATTATACGATAAAAATATACTCATACTATTGGTCCATAAAGGGATCCCAAAAAAATTACCATTCATTATTCTTATCGCGGGATATAACAACTTTCGATTGTTTCGTGTTACTAATTCACTTAGACGAATTGATGTTCGATATTTAATTATAACATAGTTCCTTAATAGTAAATCACTTTCTACAAAATTTAACTATCTTTAGTTTAGTTATTAAACAGATTAAATATATGTATTAATTACCAAGTTCTTTTAAATCAAAACATTCTCCCAGTTTTTAGTTCATCAATGCACTAAACTGTTCACATTAAATTAATACTTCTATCGTTTCTTATTATGTTATTCAACATTTCTTCTTCTTTCAGTTAGTTTAGCTGCACAAAAAATTGCTTTGGCTTCAATTCGTCATTTAAGATGGGCAGAAGACAATGCAACACATACTACGTACCTAATTATTATTTAACTTCTGATCGTCTATTACTAAATTGTTTTGTTTTTTCTTAGCGTGAAGGTTTTAATACGTATCTTGAAAGATTTTCGGCGACGTTTTCGTGGTTTTAGTTATATGAATTCCTGGTTGATAGATTTATTAGTAAGTTGAATAATCATTTGTATAACACATGTATTCATTTGTTTTCAAGGCTCATTATGTTGTAATGAATAATCCATCACGTCAACCTTTGCCACTTAATCATGCGTTCAGGTAATTTTGGTGATTTTTGTATCTATGGTATTACATGCTAAATAATATTTGTATTTATGCAAGTTATTTTGAATAATTTACTAGGGATAGACTCTTAGAATTATCTTGGAGCCAGACTGTAAATATGAGGTCCAAATCAAAGTAGGTAGACTGGGGTCCGAACCTACAACTTAATGGTCCAAACTTAGGTTGAAGTCTAATTGTCTCTGACTTTATTAGTACACAAGCTAGACTGCCAATAATATCCTATTATGTGGAAGTGATAAATACTATTAAAAGTAAAATATGATTGATCGCTTAGCGTGGCACTTAGCTTACCGACTATCAAATATGTGATTTCCCTTCCTCCCATTGATTTCTACTTCGCATTCACTGAGTGTGATTGCTTGTAATTGTATTGTCTATACTCTGGTTCTCTATTCTGGGTCGTGAATCCTGGGTCTGATATAACGTGACTAGTCTTATTATGGTATTAACGTATTATCGTAATATCCCTGAGCGAGAGAAAAAAATATTTTGAACCATCTCTTATATTAGAAAGTATCAAAATGATTCCTCCAAATGGCAGTTATCTTTATCTCTTTGAAGCGCGAATTCAGTCCCATTTCACGTTGAAATCTTTGTCGTCTCATGATATCTCTATTGTCAAGTAAAATGTAAAAAAATTGTGTTTTCTTTCGAAATATAATCCTATTTTGTTTATCAGGTTGTGCAAACCTGAAAATGTATTAACCTCTGTCTTATCCAGTATTGTGATGGCCTATTAATTTTTTCCTTATGAGAGCGGTTGTGTTTACTGTACAGTCTAGATACATAATTATTTCAGAGGGTAAATGTGAATATCATTTACGATGTCCTAGAATTGAGCTGTTTATTGGCTTGCGTATTAGGTAGTCCTCGGAGACATTTTTCGAGAGAGGTGCCTGTGTGTGACCTATGTAACGTGCTGCACTGAAGTGAACATATATATATATCAGTGCAACCCAAAAAGAGGACTTGTTGTCAACACATTCACGATTCCAAGGCAGACTTGATAGAACAAAGCTCAGCAGGATAGAATATCTATCAGCCCTTTTTGGGCTTAATTGAGGAAGTTTCTTGAGTCAAGTAAAGCTATCTACAACGCGTCGGTGAGAGCAGTTTTGCTCTATGCTTGTGAAACCTGGCCTCTCCGAGTTGAGGACGTTAGACGACTCTCTGTGTTCGATCATCGCTGTCTCCGAAGGATTGCTGATATTCAGTGGCAACACCATGTCAGTAATGCAGAGGTTCGGCATCATGTGTTTGGGCACAGAGATGATAATTCAATTGGTGTCACCATCTTGAAACACCGACTTCGGTGGCTTGGACATGTTCTACGAATGTCGTCCCAGAGAATTCCACGTCGTGCATTATTTGCCGACTCTGGGACTGGTTGGAAGAAGCGGAGAGGTGGTCAGTGCATGACATGGTGTCGTGGTATGAAAGAAAGCTGCAAAGGACTGGCTTGTGTTGGTCCTTCACGACTCCCTGGTTGGGGTCTGAGAGATAGTGCTACACAGTGGCTAGAGACGTTATCAGATATGGCTCAGAATAGAAGCCAGTGGCGATCCTGCTGTAACCTTCTTTTACTTTCTTCATAAAAAGTGGTTGTGTCTCCCTTACTTGAAAGATTTCTTCTGATTGTACTTTTCCGTTCCACTGTTACGACCACACTAAATTACACCAATCTCTTCGTTATCGTTCTCTTTTGTGCTCCTTGGTTTTTTTTTTCTCTATCTCTTCGAAGTTACATTGTTTTGTGTGGCGCATATATATTGGCGCTCTCTTGTACCAATATTTATGTGTTAAAATAAATAAATAAATAAATAAATAATCTATCTCTAATCGCAAGCCTCTTATATTTACATACGTAATGGTATATGGATCCTCAACTATTTTTTCTCTTAAGATTGTCTCTACAATAGGTGAGATTAAGATTGGAATGACTTTTAATTAACTCATATTCATGTTTACTTATCACCAGCTAAATGCGTGTACATGTTACTGTTCCTCTATCTAAACTAGAGACGAATTGGTAAATATTAAAGTCATGTCTCATGAAAAGTGTTTGACTGTTCAATTGTGTAGTTTTCTTGATTGGGTCATGCTTTCATAGATTTCAAGAATTCATTACTAAGTTATTTTAACTGTTATGCAATAACTATGATTCATAGTTTCATCCACGAAACTACATAGTTGAGCATTCACAGTTTTATTTATTTAAGTTTAGCAACTAAAATAAAATCTTCAAAATGTTTCTTTTGGTTTAGTTCATTGACATGAACTTATCAGTAGAATGATTACAAGGCAAACATTTTGTTGCAGCATTAAGATATTTTGTATTGAGAATAACTAAAGTCAAATATATTGTATTGATTAAAACAATTACTATTAGTACTATTATTATTATTAAACTTGGTTCTTATTGTTTCAAACTTGAACACTTTATTATCAGTATAACCGCTACACAATAATCAGCATTTTATTTATTAATTAGAGAAAAATATATATGTGTTGTTTATTCTTAAATATATTGTTTATTAGACGTGTATTCCATCTATTGGCCAGCGGTTTCCTTCTTCCTAATAGTACAGGTTTAATTGATCCTTGTGAACAAGGAAATTTACGTCTTCACTCGTTAATGTCTCTTGTTGAACAGGTTAGTATACGTGTATGTATGTGTACATGTAAACGTTTTACTCTCTTATTTTACTATTATCTTATAAAAGTTAAAATCATTGAAGTAAGTTGGAAAAAAAATTATTAAAGAAATTGAAGAAAGAGAGAGCAGTACACTACTATTTATTTCTATTTTGTAGCAACCTTAAAAGTATGTACCAACAATAACAACAACCGCATTCAGGCACCACAAAATGGATCTCAGAAGATGATCTTAGAAAAATTGTCACTCCACGCTGATAAGAATTGTGGATAATTAAGTAAATAATATACATTCGTTCAAGATGCTGCATCGTATCCTAATGACTGACTGGTCATTTTATGCACGAACCTACGATTACTAGTTCGATTTCATTTATATTCTCGTTATCACACATTTTATTAGCCACTCATCAAATAGATGTATATGGATCTCAGTGTTGATGTTTACATTGAGACTCGAATTGAATATCTTTTGCTTCACACCTTCAGCCCGTTATCCATTAAGCTAAGGAGTCAATACTGGTATACTGAAACATGCAATTGATGTGCCCCAAATAAGATAAAACGGACCTTCTGAATTTCACTACTAGCCAAAATCCAAATTATCAGGAAACTCCACTCAGAATAAACATGTACCCATCAGAACTGATCAATTACAGTTTTAAATATCAAAAAAACGGGTAAACTCAAAGCCTTACATACATATGTAAGGCTAATACCATTCAAAATGGATTTGTTTGTATAAAACGTTATTAAATATTTATAATTGCCTCTTAAAAGCATAATGTATTATGTGTATTGTTGATATTTCTATTTCATCTCTCTTCATTCCTAATACAAGGATGAAATATGTTGTACAGCTCAAGTACTATTACGAATTCTTAATTACGAAGATTACCCATCACTATTCACTCATACTGATTTGGATGATACATCAAGAGGTTTGTTTTATCTATATATCGTTGTTCTTTTAGTGATGGTTCTTATTTTCAGTCCCAATTATTGCAGAATTTTTCTTGATGGACACCACGATATTGATTCATTTTAAGAACAATTTGTTTTAAGCTATTGATGTAGGGATAATAACAATGCTGTTAAGTGTTACTCAGTTATTGTGTTTAAATTCTTGTTCTCTGATCACTCTGTAATTCATTAATTCACTTAATAGTTAACTGACTAAACCGCCTGATATCTAATTCAGAGACATTAGAAAATAACTAGAGGAATAATTAAGAAACACTGAATTAGTAAAAGGGGGAAACCAAGTAGGGATTTTTTTATTTATTCTCCGAAGAAATGACTTACATTGATTCATGAAACGTTAGAAAATTTAATCTTTCTACTCATTGAGATATTGACAAATGTATTAATTTATTTATAACAATCTATTCAATGTTCAACTATATTCAAAATTATCAAGTCAAATCTTGTTAATGATACCTACAAGTAAGAATCAGGTTATACATGTAGATTGGGAAAAAATGACTCATAAAGCGATCTCTAATCACTAATCTCTTCTACCTTGAGATGAAGAACTGTTAGGTATGCAGAGGAATATATCAATAATTATCATGTTAAGTCGAATGGTGTCCTTGGACGTTAAATGTACATTTCCTATTTGTCGATGTTTATTTCACTTGTTAAATATTGTGTAAATGTTGTTTTCTATTTTATGGTACGATGTGGTCTACTTGATTAGTATATAAACAGAGTATGTTTGAAATATAATGATTCATATCTCAGAGGTTGTGACTTTCGTTCTGGACTCAACTGGTTGGGCTAGACAGCGAAGCAGGGCCAATCGAGACTTTAGGTCGTTCATTACGTGTTTACGTGTAAGTACGCTGCGCATTAAACCTGCAGTCTCACATGTTACAACAAGAACATCACAACATAAACTATATCACAGGTATTTGAAGTAGGTCACTTACCTTATAGAAGCTTATGTGCTTGCATAAGAATACAATGTTTGTGCCAGATAAGGACTAATAACACTACTCAGCTGTCCAATGGTGATTTAATCAATAATGTTTATTAGCAAATATCATATTTAAAAGACTAACAACTTGGTAGTAGTGGTAGTAGTAGTAGCTTCTCAGGTCTTGCTGATTTTTAGCGTTTATTTGTCATGTACCTCTCAGTTCCGTTCACAATTTGTTAACAAATGTAAGTGCCTGCATACAGTATGCAGTTGGGTGTATTAAGAGCATGAGGTTCTTACATTTTGTGTTACTAGTTTTTTATTTTTATTGAACAACGTCCCTCTCACATTTCATTGGCTAATCTTAAAATAACTACTTTGTTGTTCATTGATATACTTTATGTCTGTCCGGTTATTTTTGCCCTCGTTTCGACCAAGTATCGTTTGTTGTTGCTGAGCCTACTACTTTGAATGTACATTTATAATGTAAGCTAATTATTGTTCACTGTTGAACTATTCATTCAGTTATATATAAACATACCTTATATACAGATTTCTGAGAAGTCAAGAGAATCTTCTAGCTTCAGTTGACCTCGTGTGATTTTAACTAAGATTGCTGTTTTTTTACCTATAATTAACTGATATTTAAAGGGTGTTAAGCTTATAGATTGCCCCATTGCCTAGTGAAATATATCTATTGTCATGTTATAAAATAAAATCTATCATTGTTCAATATACATCAATATTGACAAATTTTACATTAATTTAATTTGAAATTTTTTCTTATGTTTCCCTATAGAACAATTATTAAAGACCGCCACAAAATCGATTGATCATTTGAGTATTTTAGAATGGCCTGAACCAGTTGCATTGCATTCACAACAAATAACAGAAAATGGTAAAATAAAATTTGATTAGACAGGGGAAAAAAAAGCCAAATACATTTGTTTTTTAAATGAAGTTGCGTTTTCTGAATCTATTTAATAAGGAGGTGGTTTTATGAATGTATCTCTTTTTCTCGAAATTCTCGTTTAGAAAGTTATTTCAAGTCCATGAGAATTATAAATTCTCTCTTATTACAATCCAGCCATTCCTATTGTTTAGTATTCTGGGACACCAATTCACTCGACAAGTTCCCGATTCAGAACACGTGTTTGGACAGGAAGGATTATATTCCAAATAACAAGGTCAGATGGAAGTAAGAAGCACAATAGGAATAACGTTGGTATATTAATAGTTTTTTACATGAGAAGATCTTAGAGTTTTCTTCAAGTATCGACTAGTGCTAATTAGATGAGAATTAGCCAGTCAGCCAACCAACGTAAAATCGTGCATTGAGCATGCTTTCTGTCAACTACAACGTAGGATCAAGCACATATCTGCATCGGTCCAAGTTGTCACACCTCATTACTACAACAAGATGAACACCAAATTCGTAGTAGTTGCTTCAATAGTAGTATTATATAAAAGAAAGATTGTGTATAAAGACATGATACAGGAAGAAATAATTAGTTGATAGAAAGAAAGATATAAAGCAATCTTAATCTCACAGTTTAAGGAAAGACAAAGAGTGTATACACCGACGCCATTGTGATCGATTCTGAGCCATGTCACCCAGAGTCTCCAACTATTGGTTACGATGGTCACACGGACCCCAACCGAGTAGTCTGCATCTACCAACATGGCTCAGACCAGAAGTTAGTGACTTCAAGCACTGATGCCACGTTTAGGTTTAACCGCGCCTAACTTTCTTCCATCCGTCTCCAACACTAGTCAGCATTATGCGTCGTGGTAATCGGGGTTCGGGCGTACGTAACACGTTGCCCAACCATCTCAGTCGATGAAGATTTACAATCTCATCAACTGATTTACCATCATCACCTACTACCTTGCGTCTAACCCGACTATTGCTTACCTGGTTATCCCAGCAGATAAGAGCATGCTTTTATCCAATCTATGTCCCGCTAACACTTTGATACCACATAAATAGTGAAGAAATCTACTTCTTAATATCCAAAACTAGAAGATATGTGCTTTTAATACTAATTTCGTATCCGTTTATCAGGATAATGGCTATCGTGACCTTGATATTCGTAATAGATAATGCTCTTGGGTGTAAATAAGTGAATACTGCCTTTGAATCTCAGTGAGTCACATATTTACTCTGGGATACAAATATATTTAGCTAACGCGTTTGTCGCTTTTGTTAAATAAATTTATCAGCAAAACTGCGATCTTCCTCTATCTGAATAGTATTAGATGATGGTTTCGTGGTTGAAACACTTACGATTGACCCACTATTGAATTGTAAATCCACACTAGGCTTTTCGAAGTTATGGACAATGGGTTAAATAGCCTACTTTCCTGTAGAACATTGCAGACACACGAACGAATAAACGACGAGATCCCAAGCACTTAACGCTTATTACTCCTATTGTCATGACTTCATTATTTGTGGCTGCTACGTTTAAAGGGATTACGATATCGCCTAGAATTGGCCAACAGAACGAAAGTTAGCGACACGACAAGCTAAGCTATTCCACTGCACCTCAGCCCTGCTAACTAGAGGAAGGAAACCAGATTCAATCGGGAAAAGTGTATACTCTACAATGGGCCAGGAAGGACGAACGAATAGGCACACAACTTTTGCGTATATATACAGCAAAAAATGTCGCAAAAGTGGACGATTCAGATTTCCATAGTGAAGTTGCAAAAACGAGATGTGTACCAATTAATTTCTGGGGATCTAGCGTCCCCAATAAGTACCAAACCACTGACATGTTATCTCCTTACAATTTGCCTGCAGAAATATAGAAATTTTGTTGTTCGAATAGTCAGAACTTTCTCGCTTTACGAAGACGAGGGAAATCGGAATGGCCGTAAATACAGCGTCTGTTGAGACCATTTTGTACCAGAAAATACCGAGGCATTTTTTAAAATATCGTACAAATTTAGTAAACAGTTTACCAAATCCAACACATCACAGGATACAGAGAATACATATTAATAAACATCACCTAGTTAGTACAAATTTAAGTGAAATCATTTGAGGAATTACAATCACCAAGAAAACTCTGCTATTTTATAAATGAATCTTGTGTGCGACTCAAACAAAATACACAACATTAAATTCAGAGGTACATTTGACAACAGCATGACACTACTAAACACCTATCATTATGATGGAGGGTTATGTGTGCCATTTTACGTTATCCCCTGAATATCCTGGTAAATATAACTTGGTCGTAGGGCTTAGTTGCTGCATTACTAATGTCTTGTTTTATCGTCAATCGTATTTTGAAACCAGTTTTTTCTATTGATGATGCTATGAATTGCTTAAAGATACATCTGTGGAGAACGAACATGGAATGGTTATTTCTTCAACTTCTGTAACTTAATTTCAGACAGGAAAAGTAATCCTATTGACTTCTGTTAAAGTATACTGAGTAATAACCTCGTTTCGATTAGCTAAAGCTAACTAATCAGACCACTATGTTGGTAAGAATTGGACAGAAATCTTATATCCTGGTAGTACAATTTTGTATTTCAAAATGTCTTGCTTTCCTAAATTATTTTTCTATTTGCTCTTTGATTTTACACTTAGTTATTTCATTATAATTAAGTGTTATGCACCTCTTGTTTATTTGCGCATATCCTGTCAACGTTTCACAAAGTTGTATTTTTAACACTCAAACCATGTGACCTAGTATCATGGTTCTCTTATTGCATTATCATCATGTTTATTTATATTTCCCCACATTATTTCATGTTTACGTGACTTAATCACTCTACAATAAATTAGACGAGGGAATATTTCCACGGAATTTTGTGGGTTTTATAAATTTCGGTAGTATTATGTTCCATAAATTGGTGATTTGGTTATGCACATTACCATCCATCAAAGTTGACCATGTAAATATGTTCCTAGAATTCTATTTCCTCATCGCTTGTCTACCTACCGGCCATATTCAAATAAGAAATAGCCTTCTGTGATAATTTTTTTTGCGTCCAGAATTTTTTATTTAGCTAAATTGACTTTAAAAAACAATACGTGATCATTGCATAGAAAATAACTTGAAACATACATTTGAACCATAATGAAAGTATATTTAATGTTTTCAAAAATAAGAAAATGGAACATTTTTCTCGTTTGCATATTAAAAAAAAAGGTCAAAATTGAAGAAATACTATTATTATTATTATTTGTCGAAGAAGAAATGAAAATGGGTCATTTCCTACTTAGTAGCCAATTTAATAGGAAGACATGAACCAATTTATGTATTTTTCGTTGAACTACTTAAATAAGATATAAGTAAGTGGATTGATTAATAGGAGAGGAAATCATCCATCCCCCCAGTTGACCCTTTACCATCACCTATGTTGGTATGTAATTATATTTTTTTTCGAAACTGTATTACATGTCAGATAAGAATTGATGAAAGATCAAAAGAAAAAAAATAACTTGGTTAAGATCTTTCAATCAAATTACTAGAAGATTTCTGTATGGGTTTTCTTTTCTTTTTTAAAATAAATAAGAGTTTTCAAAAATTCCATTCTAGAGTGAAAGTGTAGAACATGACTGGGTTAAAACCAGATATCACAATTTTCAAAAGAGAACACACATACACACATGATAAAGTAAAGTTGATTGTGTCCTTTATGCATAACATTAAGATCATAAAACCTATTTTATTTTTGGATAATAAACAAATATAAGAGAATAAAGTGAATTTTTCCGGGGTTGCAGAATTCTCGTTTAAAATAGGTTCTTCCTTATTTGGAAGATTGAATGACCGTCCGTGAAAGTTTAACAAATTATTGTCAGTTTTATTTTAAATAGAATAAGCTTGAAGTAAAATAGCAATTAAGAGTGAATTTTTAAAAAAAATATTCATCAAGGGTCTCGTAACGACCATTTTAAACTCCAACCATTTTCCTCGCCAAAAGTGGCTGAAATTGTATTAAAATAAGAAAAAAGAACAGAACAATCAATATCGAAAACGAATGAAGGTACAAATACAATGTTACATACATTATGGTTAGTCTTTTAAAAGTATGTTATCATCTATTATTATCCTATTACTCACAGTAAAAGTGGCGACATTGAATTGATAGGTGAACTTGTAGTGAACAAGAACGCGGGTGGGGACAAACGGATGTATTTAGCACAACAATTACAGTCTATCTCAACAAAATCTGAATACCATATAGTAAATCGTCAATTTGTAAAATATTCATGCATCAAATCAAACTGGACTGTTTCTGTTGCAAACACCAATCCATTGTCTCCCATTCCATTGTTCGTGCATTTTCTTACAAATTCCAATGTGTTCTCGCTCTACCTTTTTGATCTTCGCCATCTTCCGCTGCCAGACATTACGTTCTTTTAACGCACGTCATATACTACTTATAGCAATATAAGTAGCTCACACCACAAACTGAGTTCGTGCCACATATGGAATATTGTTTCCTTTAAAGTTGCAGGTATGTCCTACTGACAACTACAAGCTTACACAAACTATATCCAGTCGAAACATTCTGTCGATTTATTTCCAATCGAAAACAGTGAATGTGATACTGAGTCGCTTAATCTAATAACCACATTAGAGTTTCATCGATGATATTTGGTTAGTATTAAGGGTTTAATCAATCTGACACTGGTTTCTGATCACCAATCAGTCATTTAGAGTGAATGTGTTTAGAAATCATGAGTCATGATATGATAAGCTAAAGGAATAATCAGGTGATCGTAATGCTTTCACAGTTGATGATTTAACAATGTGTTCTTCGTACAATCTCTGGAAATAATCAGTTTGATATTGATGTGGTTGAAGAATCACAAATCCAATTAAACCAATGAATGAACCAAGATTCTATGTAAAACTCTTCTCATTTTCTTAATTTTAAGAAATATTGTCTCATTCAATAGAATCAAGTGTATGATTATGTATTGAATCAGT